CAAGCCACCAAATGAGCCCTTTCACAAACAAAAGAGCAAAAAAAATTATTCTTCTTATAAATAAGCTTGTTCACGAGCTTTAATTGATATTGTTTATAAACATAAACAAGTCAAATGCATAGTTGTTCAAGCTTGTTTATTTAAAAGTTGAGTATTTTAAAAATTGTTCAAATTTATTTGATTACTTAAACAAATTTTCATTAATGAGTTGTAATTGAGCTGAGGTACAAGGTTGAATGCTATGCTCACTTGCAGCCCTAGAAGAGGGATTGCATGCAAAAAAGAAAGGAAGAGATCAGGGGAAAGTGAAGCTATTGCGGCAGCTAGGTGAGTGAAGACACATATATGAGCGAGACTTTATATGGGTTTTGAGAAATAGGGATGCTTGAGGCAAGTAATGAGATGCAAGAGGGAATGAAAGATTGAGGAGATCACGTAAGTGTGTAAAGAATGAGTGACTAAGAGGGTGTGAAGGAGAAGTCAAGTTTTGTGGTAATTCATGGTTTAAAATTGTGCAATAAGAGGTGCACCTCAGTACAATTCGATTCTTTTATTCGTCAAGGTGGACCTATTGAACGTGATATGCGAGGCGTACGCCTCAAATAAGCAGAGACGCGCCTCATCTCACTTCAACGAGGTGTTCGCCTCATAAAAAACTAATATAAAAAATAAAAACCTAAACCTAATATATGTATTCTAATTTCCTTCGTGCTATTCAACTTCGCCTAACCTACACTTTAAACTTCGGCTGCCATCGTGCACTTCGACTGCGCCTGCGTGCGTTAGTGCTCGTCGAATTCGCCTGCGTTCGTGTTTTCTGACTTCGCCTGGACTTCGGCTGCCTTCATGCTCTTCACGTTCCTCCTCTTCGACTTAGCCTAAGCACCACATGTTAGGTTTAAGATGTGTTATTAAAGGTTCATTGCCTTCTTCGATGATGTTCTAAAACCTTCATTGTCTTCTTCTTTGAACGATCATAGGTGGAGTCACAGGTAGAGAGTCTATACCCTATTGGATCATATTGGAAGTCTTGAAGGTTTAGTTGGTCGTGAATTTTTCTGTGTATCACTGTATCTTTCTTATGCTTTTCTCACATTTTTGTATGATCAAATATACTAAATCATTTTCAAGCAAGATATACTTCAAAATTAGAGCAGAGAAGATAATTGTGAGAAATTGGTTTGATTCTACACAACACAATCACTAGCAACATAATGATTCGAGTATGGCTTCATTTGAAAACATGAAAACACTTTGGGCTGCTCTAAATTTAATTTACAATAAATATAAAAATCATTGTCTTCTTTGAAAGTTTAGATATTTATGATATATTTATTGTGTTGATCGCCAATATTTCATGTGCTAATTATGTGAGAGTTTCAATATTTAATGTAAATATTGAATATTTAATTGTTGGGTTTCGTAAAAGGATGCTCAAAAGTAGAGATAAAGCTGCATCGATTCAAAGAAAGGATCCAACACAGAAACATATCACTCAAGTGAACGTAGGAGGCAGTAACTAATCATACGTATATCTGAAATCTAATTACTATGACAAAATAGTGAAGGGTGGTGTGACTAGGATGAAGAAGCACCTTTCTGGATCCCACAAGAATGTTGCACCATGCACTAATGTGTCTGATACAGTTAGAGAGGAAATAAAAACATACATAAATAAATCTATCATATCAAAATATCTTGCACAGAAGCAATTTGAGGAAAGTTCATTTTTTATGTCAATTTTTAATATATTATTAGATTAGTATACAAAAAAATTATCATTTTGACTTTAGGCAATTTTCTCATTTTGAGGCTTACGCCTCAGAACGCCTTGAGGCTTACGCCTCGCCTCATGAATAAAAAATGTTTCAATACCCAATTGCACAATTTTAAACAATGTGTAGTATGTTAAGATTTGGGATATTATTTTTTTAATAAATATTTTTAGATGACAAGACTTAATAGCAGACAAACGAGACTTATGCTGACAAATAGCGTACGAACCTAGATTTCATAGAATTCAATTCAATGATAATATGAGGAAATGGGGTTAAATTTTGATTTGAATTTGATTATATATATATATATATATATATAAAATAAATGTCATTCATGCATCTTGAATTGTGTGTCATGGCCTCATGCATAGGAAAATCTTGTGTTTCACTTTTGTGTGGTAGATAAGATAATATGGGTGTCTACCTTATACGTATTTTATATTTTCGAATGCGTTAGCACAGCCTAGCTCACAAAATGGGCGTCGGTTGAATGGTTTTGCGTGGCGTCGTGTCCATCATCGATCATTTTGCCCGTATTCAATTAAGGCAATCATAGAAATCCTTCCTAAGTAATTTCAATGCTATGACTTGGCGCAATCATTTTGGGAAATGATCAAATGGTTGGATGATTTTCGTTGCAATTAAGGCATTTTGAATCCAATTTATTGAATCCAGTGACTATTATCTATTGCTTTTTGTCATCATGTTTGAATAGATCTTTCATGGAGCAATTATGGAGGTCAACACTTTACTCTAAAGAGTTAAATGTAGCTAAAGGAAGAGCTCAAGATCCACAATTATTTTTGTAAAACAAGCAAAATTCATCCCAAGAAAGAGAAACAAAAGAAAAATTCATCCCAAAGAAGAGCTGATAACAAGGAAAACCATCCCAATGAAGAAAAGATGATAGGGAATAGCATTATCATCATCATCATCATCGACAACACTACTACTAGAAGACTCTTATCACAGATCTTCAAGGAACATAAACATAACCCTTTATATTTGAAAGCTTGTAAGTCTTCATACACACTAGATTTTCCTAATGTAATTGAATTATTGGATGACTGAAATTGACTTGTTTTCATTGGCAAATGATTGGGTTGGGCTATTTGACTTCCGTAAAGTTTAGTTGATTAATTAGGCATGTTGGGCACTACTTGGATTGAATAGATTGGTTGATTAAAAATCAAGGTCTGGTAAATAGAACAGGTTGGATAGATTTAAGTGGAGTTGATCAGATAATTAGTGGATTCATTTTAAATAAAGGAGGGGGTCCATCATACACATGAGCAAATAATATAAGAGGTGAAAGAGAATCCATTAAGAATGATCATGTTGCTTTGGGTGTTTCATATTTGAATTTAGAATAGAAAGTTTAATTTAAAAAGTGCATATGATTTGGTTAGAAGACGGTAAAGCACAGACACCGACATAAGAGATGTGCACAACATGACATGAGCACAAGACAATCATAAAGTAAAATATGAAAACAGGTTGGATGGATTTAAGTGGAGTTGATCAGATAATTAATGGATTCATTTTAATAAAGGAGCACATGAGCAAACAATAAAAGACGTGAAAGAGAATCCATTAGGAATGGTCATGCAGCTTTGGGTGTTTCATATTTGAATTTAGAATAGGAGGTTAATTTAAAAAGTGTATATGAATTGGTTAGAAGATTGTGAAGCATGAACACCGATATAAGAGATGGGCACAACATGACATGAGGACAAGACAATCATAAAGTACAATACGATACATTATGCACAATATTTTTTTATTAATATAAAATATATAATTAAAGAACCTAATGTAAATATTTTCTATGAAAAACATCACAATAAATTAAGATATCATCTATCTCACATACTCACATAAAAATCCAAAAGATTAGCAAATAAAAAATGCTAGCATTGTTCATTTGTACTGACCCCAAACATATGTAATTATCAACAACACACCAACATTAGTATTTGATCAATATCAATATTGTATCTTTTTTGCAAAATGCTAAAATTCCTAAGAAGAGTATATAACTAGTCCTTAAAATAACCAAATAAAATATGAGCATATAGATGTATCATTGATTGGGCACAATAGAGTCAGTACAATGATCATCTTCAGTACTGACAGCAATATCCTGTTCAATAGCCTCGAGTGTCTCATCATTATCGACGTATGACCAAACCATGAGCCATTCTTTTTTTCCTTTTTTTTTCTTTTGTTTGGAGGGAATATCTGACAATTTTCAATAAGTCAAGCATGTAACAGGATCTATCAAATGAATATTTGAGTTTGACACAAACAAAAAAAGTTTTCGAAATGCCTCTACTTCATATCATATGAAGAGGATAAAGATTTTGAATTCCAAGTGATAGTTTGATGAATTTTTTTTGTGTATATGCACAAGGATTAAATGGAATTAGTCATAAATGCAAACAACGAGAAAACCAAAAGGCTTATGTGAGATGATTTTGAATCTAAATTTGAAATAAAGTGGAGCAAATTGAATAGGATGAAGCAGGAGAGAAGCAATGAAGACCGATTAGTGTAAAGAGGCATGCTTATATGGGGTATTCTTCATGGAACAGTAGCTTCTCACCATTATTATTGTGGAATAGTAACTTCATGATGTTATTGTTTGCATAGCTAGCTTTTTGTAGTTATCGTTCAGTGAAAACATGAAAAAGAAAAAAAGCCAATTGTTGTTCATAACGAAGAGAAGAAATGCAGAGCAGCAACTAGAAAGAAAAAATGCCTACCCTTAATCTGTATCACAGTCATGTGATTAAGGAGATTATACCATGAATTTTTCAATAAATGCTGGAAAATTTGCTCTAATGTCATTTGAAAGAGCAGGATAGAAGCAAAGATCACGGTGCACTTCTGATACCATGGCTATTTAAAGGAAAGAATATGAGAGAACGAATTGACGAGGTAAAGTGAAGAAGAGATGAATCAAAAGCCTCCAAGAAAAAGTATTTTTAGATAATTTCTAAACATACAATAATTAAAATAATAGGAAGCATATCTAAATGGCAAATGGACATTTTCTCTTCATAACTGATAAAATGACAAAAAAAAGACAAAAAGAGCTCCCTAAACAAGATTTTAACACAAATAAAACTCAATATTAAGAAGATTAAGTAATACAACTGTAAAGATCTATGCAAAAGTAAATGCAAATATTCGAACTAGATAAAATAACACAGAGCTTACAAGTGCTTTCTGTTTAGGAGATGTCCGACAACAGATAACAGATGCACAAACAGAGGCCAGATCAAAAAAGGACCTCTCCAAATCTTTTGAAAGAGCAAAGGCCAGAGAGTTACCATCAATAATAAGAGCATAGAGAACAGAATTCCTTTCCGATATATTAGCTTTAAATTGTGCTTCATGTAATTGTCTGGTAACACTTTCATGAGAAGCCTGACAATAGTGTAAGAATTGTCAGTAACTGTACACATAGTAGCATTTTGTTAAAACCATGCAATAAACATGCTACCTTTTTAAGGGCTTCATCATCTCCCTTGGTAAAAACAGAGGGATCTAATTCATCTAGAGTAATTATGATTTGCTTCATATCTTTCCGCAGTAAGTGACAGGCAAACCTGCAAAAAAGAGTTCGGTCAACAATTGTAATTTTAACCATAATAAGATACAAGTCCAAATTCACAAAAACAAAATAATAAAGCAAACCCGATGTTGATTGCAGTTTCCAACTTATCACCAGTCAGAACCCAGATTCTGATTCCAGCTTGAGCTAGTTTGTCAATGCATTCAGGAACCTACAGAAAGGAAGCTGAAATCAACTACAATTTCTCTCTTTTTTAAGAAAGTTCTCTTTTTGCAATGCGAAGTTAGATCGAACATAGATGCTACCACTTAATTGTTTTTACTAATGAAACTGAGTACTGAGAAAAGCAAGAATATAAAATCACACAAATGGGGCATATAGCAAGCCAAAGTGATAGAAATATATAAATAAAATACAAACAACAAAACTAATCATGCAAACCACCTTGAATGTGAAGATCTCATATCTCACCACCTCAATTTGCGATTTCAGGATACGGGAACTAGATCATTGCAATAACGTTCCTCTCCAGTCAAATTTCCCTTCGTTGCAACCACCTCCTGTGAGTCTACCCCCTCCAATTTCTTCATCCTGAGCACTAATTCCGCCTTCTTCCTTCAACACCGGTAGCCATCACAGCTACACAAATTATCCTCAGCACTGCTTATCCACCAATAGCTTCTTTTCAATGAGAGACTTTCCCAACGGGCCCACGCGTTAGGCTTATTATCATTCTCATCTATCTCAAGTTGTTTAACTTTACTTTTGCTACCAATTTGTTGAAAGTCTAGCAGTGATATCATTTTCTTTATCTCCTATTTGTATTTTTGGTTCTAACAGTTAGTGAAGTCATCTTATGATACATATTTGTTCTTAGCATAGAATCTCAAAACTTTATTCTTCTCATTATTTTGTGCACCGATTAAAAAAGCGGTCGAGGCGTCCGAACAAAGGCGCGACTCAATTCGAGGCGCTAACCCGGTGCCTTGAGGCTTAAGCCTCAATGTATTTGACGAGGCGTGCGATTTTTTTCAGCGAGGCGTACGCGTCGAGGCGTAACGACTCGACGCAGCATGAGACCACGCCTCGTTAGGATTCGACGGAGCTCACAGCGAAGAACAAATTCCTTATCTTTCGAACATGCTGCTTCCGCTTCGTCCCTTTTGAGAGCTGCTTCGTGTTCGACCACAAGTGAGTTCTTCGATCCGGCAGGAGTGCTCGGGAATGACCTTTCTTCCTGTTCGACCACTGGTTTGAGTTCGTCACACTTCGTGTGAAGTCGGAGCTCGAACCGAAGGTAACACTACCTATTCGACCACTGTTTAAACTTTACCTGCTTCCTCTTTCGTATACTTTGGCTTAGACAACTGCAGGTAATGGGCTTTCTTCCTTTGCTCATGGAGTTTAAAACAACAAGAATTATTTTTATGCTTCTCTTTTAATGGCTAAAATTCAGCGTCTTAAAATCATTGCATGTCTCACCACTAGGTACATGCTCGGTACCGAGCGGTACATGCTCGGTACCGCTCGGTACCTTTCCATACAAACAACTTACGAACTTTAAAGACAAACAGAATTTCAAAATTACTCTTATAATAAAATTTTGTTCTGAGGGCAGGAGCGCTGCCCCTTGACCCCGCGACCTGACCGGGCAGGTCTAACCCTCCTCGATCTGCCTCGAGGCTTACGCATCGCCTCGATTCCCGATTTCTCCTTTTAAAACCTTGATTTTGTGTATGTTAAATAATTCATTATTTTAATAATATATTTAAGTCTCCAATTTAGTTAATTATAGGAATAGATTACATAATTAGGTTCATAACTATCTGTTTAATTTTATAATAGAAAAAATTAATCTTGGTTGATTATAGGGTAAATTATATTAAATAAGATGCAAATCGTTGTCTCCTTGAAGCTTATCGTATGTTCGTTGAATATTGTGTAGATAAGTAGATTGTCAATCATGTCTTTCAAATTAAATCATTGCATTACATATTTTAATAGTTTACGCTTAATTTTTAAATTGGAAATGCCTTACATATTTTCATAAATAACTTCATCATTGTTACATAAATCATTTTAAGTTGGAATGGTCTATAAATAGGATAGCGTGTTTCTCATGCAACTTATTAGTTAATGTAAATATGTTCTTTATGCAAATCATATTCTATTAATATCTATAACAAGCTTTGACCACTCTGCTCATAGAATATTGTTCTAGCACTTGCTGAAATCATGACATAAAATTTGTATGCTTATGTTTGATGGATTTCTTCAATAGATATCTAAAAATAAAGTGCATTATGATACATGGTTAATAAACAGTCTTTAAATATATATGAAAATTTCTTATGAGCTTGCACATGGATATTTAAGCATTTAAATACATTCATTATTATTTTCCATATAAATTATCATTAACATCAACATAATATAAATCATTATATATTTTGATCATTCATGCATTGCAATTGGCTTGTGCATCATTTAATAAGAGAGTAAACCAAAATAATTCAATTTCGTAATCAACCTCATAAAATAAAAAAATGCATTCTCCGGAGCCCTGTCGAGCAAATGCATTAACCAAATAACTTATCATCACACGTAAGCCTAATTAGCTTGTAGTATGAACTAAACATGGCAGCAATATGCTGAAATAAAAGTTGCACTATTAGAATTACCCAATGTTTAAAATTGTGTAATCGGGTATCGAGGCATTTTTCGTTCGTGAGGCGAGGCGGAAGCCTGAAGGCGTTTTGAGGCGTAAGCCTCAAAATCAAAAAATTGCGTAAACATAAAATGATAAATTTTTTATATAATAATTAGTAAATAATATATAAAACATAAAAATGCACAAGATATGAAGTGAAATCAAAATATCCCAATAATAAGACAACATGAATACAATAAAATACTGGTCTGCCGGGGGTCAAGGGGGCTCTGCCCCCGAAGCAAATTTTTATTGTAAGAGTAATTTTGAAGTTATGCTTATTTTTAAAGTTCGTAAGTTGTTTGTACAGAAAGATATCGAGCGGTACCGAGCATGTACCTAGCGGTACCGAGCATGTAATTGCTCGGTACCGAGTGGTACCAAACATTGTTGTACCTAGTCGGTACCGAGCATGTACTTAGTGGTACCAAACATTGTTGTACCTAACGGTACCGAGCATGCACATTAGCTTCTTTTTTTTAATTTTTAGAGGCGGACGCCTCTCAACCGTGAGGCGAGGCACGCCTCAGTAAACTTGAAGCGTACGCCTCAAATCCTGAACTCATTGTGTGGGCTTTGAGGCTTAAAGGGGCAAAATTGCGCTGAGTTGCTCCTCTTATTGCGCAATTTTAAACCATGGAATTACCCTACGGTATATTTCAACTAGGCACTTAACATTCATTAATGAGGAATAACATCATGCGCAACATGCTAAACAATGGGACTAGGACTCAGAACCCAAAAGCATTGACAATAATACAACAGTAACCAATTATTTTATAATTGTAAGTGGAAGTGCTAACTGGTGCTTAACAAGGTGATCATCTCAGAACAAGCTAATAATGTTTCATTTCACCAATGCAAACATGTAGCTAAAGTTCAGTGAGATTAATCACATATTCTAAGGAGGTATTTGCAAGAGAACACTTGCAATGTAACCTTTCTGCTGAAAAACATTATTTTAGAAAAATGTGCTTTATATTATTCTAGTAATTTTTAACTTCTTGTCATAAACTATCTTAATCAAAGAAATATCAAAGTTTAGCACTACAATAATATAATAGGATAACAAAGATCTGACTGCAGTAGCCTGGCTTTGGCAAAATATGAAAACAAACAGAATTAAACAAAAAAACAAGCATTTTTAAGAGATTGGAGTTACCCCTTTTTGTAAACTGTCCTCAACTGCTGTAGCACCTAAAAGAATCAAGCCCCTCTCAATTTTTTCAGCGGCTGCATCAACCATTTCATCACGATTAGCACTGACAGCATTGCTGGCTTTCGAAAACTCATCATGCCATATGTTGAACTCTTCTTCACTGACCACACGGTAAGCAACAACCATTGTACGCAAGCCAGCCTCCGAGTACTTTTTAATGTGATTTTTGGTTGTCGACTCAAAAATTTGCTCATTCTTTGCAAGTCTGGTAAATATTACACTGAAGCAAAAAGCAGATATTACTAAAGTATTACTCAGACCTCAAAGTTGACAAACCTTCGCAGTACGAGTAATTCACGCCAGCACAAACCTGTCTGCACCCTTGCAAAAGATCAACACTTGACCCTCCTCAGTCATTACGACAACAGACATTCGCTTCCGAGAACTGCTAAATGATAATGTGCAGAGAATTTTATATGTTCTGAGAAGGAAAAAAATATCTCAAGTATTAATTTCAAATATAAACATTTGTGCAAAAGAGAGGTGAAGAAAGTTTGTTAATTGTAGCACCTATCTACCATTCTGCCAAGACAAGGTTCAAACTCACGCAATAATATGCTCGACTGGGTTTTTTCATAGAATTTAAAACCCAATTCTCTTGCAGCCACAACAAAAGTTGCTTCATCTGGCGATTCAGCTTCATAAGAAATGCCATCAGATTTACTATCCACCACAGCGATGGCAGTATGGCAGACAGCCAAGACACGAAAGAACATCTGTATAAGATCATGGTGAGGCTCCTTAACCCACGACCCATTCATCAATCGGTCATCTGAAAAACTGAATCCTTTCACTTGCTTCCCCGAGTCTCCATCATTTGCATGTGACTTTAAACTACATGCTACTGGTTGAAGCTCAATTTCACCATCCAGTGTTCCTGTACTCAAATCTTTACCCACTTCAGAGTTTCCCCAACCATAATCAACACCAGCAATAGAACATTTCAAGAACTCCATTGAGTTGCATGTTAATGTTCCAGTTTTATCAGACAAGATCGTGTCTACCTGACCAAGTTCCTCATTCAGATTTGATGTTCGAGCGCGAGCAGGCTGATCCATTTCCTTGCAGTACATTTCCTGGTCCTGATTAATGAATGTGCTTTGTAGAACTTTAACAATTTCTATAGATATATAGAGAGAAATAGGTATTAAGCAGCCATATAACATTAGACCAGTCAAAAAGTGGCAAAAAGATGCTAATGAAGTCCTTTTTGGATCAAATAATATAGAAGTTTTGTCTGGTCTAAGATACCACCTGCTGGCCATCCCATCATGAATATCTTCCTTTGTTTTTAACCCAAAAAAGATGGAACCAGTGGAAGAAATTGCAATAAGAACAGAAAAGAGAATATAAATTATCTTATCCATTCTCATCTCAATCTTGCTCCTCTTGGAAGGAGGATCCATAGCATTTTGCATGACTTTTGTGTCATGACCAGTAAAAACTACAACACCATATATATAATGAGTGTTCCTGAGCTTTGAGTCCCTCAAAAGAATCTGCTGGGAGGAAAGAGAATATTCTGAACCTTCATAATACATTGTTCCGATGAAGCTATAAAGCTTTTCATTTGGATCTTCACATTTAATCAAATTTCTAAACTTCTGAAAAGAATGAACACTCTGGAATCTTGATGTAACCGTCAAGCATTGTTTTCTTTTTAGGTTTGTCTCTCCATCAAGGTTCATTGTTTCAACAAAACAAAAACCATCTTCACTACTTGAAGAAATCAAAACTAGATCGGCAGGAAAAAACTCATCTTTCTCCACTCTAACGATATCCCCAACTCTTAGTTTTTTCCATTCTGTACTATTGAAAGTATGGCTTCCATCATATACATCAACTTTCCGATTGTTAACTTCAATATCCTGAGAGCAGATTAAAAAATAATTACTGTAATAAAAAGTTTAATTTTAAAACAATGCTCATAACTATAAAAAGACTTTGTTATAAAATATTAGAAATGACCTTTCTTTTTTAAATTTAACTGAGAATTTGACTCTTAACAGGACACAATGGAGAAAAATAATTCATATAGCCGACCCAACGTAGTGGTATGAAGACTTAATATTGTTGTTGTTGTTGTTGCAGATAACTAAAAAAACATCTAGAAATGGTAATAAGCCTGGACGTGCAGCAGATGGCAAAGAAATGGAAAAATGCCGGCCTTGTTCTCCTGGAAGGCATTGAGAAAAGCACTTCCAAAAACAAGGGCCAACTCACCACAGGACCATAGCTACTCCCAAAGTGAGGAACTTGATGAGAAGCTGACTCCTCAAGCCCATTGCACCGAAGTTATTGAGTAGATGGCCAAAGATGGCATTCAAGGGGGATGGGGCACACAGGATGACGAAGTACTCCTGCTAGTCACTAAGTTTTTGTGATCGCCCCAGGTGACCTTCAGGGTATTTATGGCTTTCGTTTAGCTCCACTCCCTAGAAAATCTAACTAGTGCACCATCGTGGATTCTGAAATTTTTTGTCCAAACAATCTTTTTGATAAAATTGACGAAATTGACATTCATCGAACTCCCAAGGTCAATCAGGATATTGAGGGCCACAAAGTGGTGCATCACTGCCTTGATTTGATCACATCGTGGGAAATGTTATAGGTGATCAAAAGATCTTCATATGAAAAAGAGAAAACACAACAAGAGAGGGTGAGAACCTCGCAAGAGTTGAAGCAACAAAAGAAAACTTTCACTGGCAAATTCAAATCTAACTTCTAAGGTGATGGGTGCAATACAATCAATGATATCCGACTTGTTTGAACCAAGATGGTTAGTAGTGGGTGCCGGTTGTCGTTATGTGGTGTAGTTTCTAGCATGTTTACAATTGTTATCTTCAATGACAAAGCGACGGTTGCTAACTCCTTCAAGTTTCCCTTAATGATTGTCTCTCTTCTCAAGGAGATTATGGAGCACTCAATATTCTTCGATGTCATGGTCATGATCATCGTGGTAAAGACAACTTTTGATTGTTAGCGAGTTTATTGATTGGGGAAAACCACTTGAAGTAGTCCCTATTTTTCTTGGCCTTTAGGATAGTGAAGATGGAGCAATTAAAAGGAACCAAGCCACCAACAGGTGTTGCAGATGGACCATGGCAAAATAGTGGTTATCATCATGGTTATTCCTTTGGGACTAAACACCATGGTGGATAGTGTCGTGGTAGCCCTAACTAGGACAAATGATGCTCCTTGACCAATTGGAGTAATTGTTCTCCATTTTTGTAGTTGACTGGTGGCATAGGAAGGGAAGAGAGATGCGATAGATAAACTTCCTTAGCATTGATGTACTTTGACGGCTTCTAAAGCAAAGCTTGGCATGGTCGATAATGGTATTTCATTATAAAAAACTTGAAAGGCAACTCCCTCAAGTCAAGAGCTCAAGATAGGTTGGCCATTGAGTTAAAGTCAGTGATCTCATAGGTCGCCAAGATAAACCTAAGAATGTTGTTCATAAAAGGGATCCTTTTGTCTAATGTACAAAAGGGTGCATGAGATCTTCAGTGATCTCTATGAACTAAAAAAAATAAGTAATGACTGATAACATAACACATCAAAAGAGTGGCAACCATCAGGGGAGAAACAAGAGACCCGTCTTTACACCAAATCCTTCACGGTTGCACGGAAGATTTGAAAGTGAATGGCATCCATTGCATAATGGCCTTGTTAACTTCCATCAGATTCTCAATAGGGCCAATCATCTTTTTGTAATTGCCACATTGGGGTAGCTTGAACTTGAGAGGAATAAGATCCTCCAAGATCGCAACGAAGAAAGGAATAATATTGGGGTAGCTATAGGCATGTTGGAGAAGAGTGAAAATTAAAGATCAACAATGCTTGCCTCCTAATGGGGCCAATTCACCCAATCAGAATAATAGGGAAGGGTCAAGAGAGCCATGGTAAGTTCGGTTCTTCAACCAAGACAATAGTACCAACCATAGCGATGCAAACCACAACCTACACCAAGAAGTTGAGCTTTCGCATGAAGACCTAAGAATAGTGTATGCATTATGGATGTTATTTTGGTTGGCATAAATGCAGAACTTTCACAATGGTTGTCAGCCGGATAGCCATTCGTGCTAAAGGAGACTCCACTATTCAATACCAATGATAATTTTCTGCTAACTTTATACCTCAAAAAGAGCACCAAAAATATGTGAATGCCTGATTTGTCTAGGGTGTCAGAGCTGACTCATTAGATACATTTGAAACTCAATTACGAGACTATCAAGCAAGGATATTTCCAATTAAAGGATCAAGAAAATACCAAAATAAATCAATGTTGAAGACACATAATTTAAATTGAATGGATCAAATGAGCCACATCCACCATAGAGGGGTGTGAGCCTTCTTCATTAAAAAAAAGTTGCTTTTTTTATCTATAGAAAGCACCCTCCCACAACTCAATAACAACAAGCATTAAGCAACTAAAAAGATGTAAAAGAGTAGAAGTTTACACAATAGTATTCCAATGCAAACGATAACAAAAGGATCCTCCCTTGGATTCAATTATGCTTATGTTTAGCAATCATTTGATAGGATAGGGGTTCTACGGAGAGTAAACGGTGGATATGTGGTAACTATTAGCTATCAAGTGCTGGAAAAATGAGGCAACAAGAAACGGTTTAACAAAATATGAAGAGACACGTGGAAAATAGCACAAGAGAAATGTTATCAGTGAGATGTTAAGTCGCAATAGTTGCTTTCATATGTTGATCATGTGAGAAGGACATGCTACAGATACCAATAGTGGAAGTGAAAGAACAATGAACCTGGCCCAACCAACAAGGCCCAAAACTATCCATATTAGTGGTGCAAGACCCTAAGTAATTACGACAATTTAATGTAACCTATGCCAAAAAAGATGAAGGAGGGCGATGTGAGAAGCAACAAGGCGAGTTGAAGCATCACACACATACACCAAAAAAGGCAATAAAGGGGGATGCACGAAGTTCTTAAGAAACTTAGTGGCCTCCCCACCTCAAGAACATGTATGAGTGGCAACATTGACCTAGACTCTATGAAGTAAGAGAAAATCCCTATAAAATGATGTCAACGGTGACTCAAGAACATAAGCAAATAAAGAATGGTTTCTCCACAATTATGCACTTATACAATAGGAGATTTTTATTATTAAGGTGTCACTAAAGAAACGCTTCAATGTCTCTACCTACAAGCTCTCCTAAATCTTACTGAGTGGTGTGTATTCCCCTTGGAAATGTCCCCTTAAGTAGGCTACTTACATGTGGCTTGAAGTGGGAAATATAGGGTGGGATCTACTTCTATAGAATTTCAGATAAGATTATCTCAAGTCAATTGTATGCGTGGGGCTAATTTTTATTTTTTTTAAGCAACATAAAAAGGCTTTGGGCTAAATAGACGGACTACATGCACTCTAAAACCATCATTGTGAAATAACATGTCACATGATGTGAAGCTATGATGTACAGACACGGACACGACGACACGGATAAGACATGACACGAACACGAGACACATCAATTATTGAAAATATAGGACACAGACACGGGTTGGACACGGTATTATAATTTTATATTTTTAAAATAGAATATAAAAATTGAATAAGTATAATTTTAAAAATAATTTAGAAATAATAAATCATTTAACTAGAAAATATGCTTAAAATGATTAATATTAAGATGTTGAGAGACGAGCGTCGATGTTGTTTAACAGTCATTGAGAGAGGAGATGACAATGTTGTCAAGGTCGGGCATTGATGCTATGCAGTAAATATTGGGTGCCAATGTTAAGAGGATGTTAATCGTTGATGTTGAGAGGGCGTTGGTCGTCGATGTTGAGAAGGCATTGGACAAAGATGAGATGTCAAGTTGTGAGTGTAGAAATTGCTAGCATCGAACATCAATGTAAAGACAATGTCAGACTTTGATATGGAGATCATTTTGAAATGTTGATGTTGTAACGACATCAGGCATCGATGTTCATATTACATCAGGCATTGTTGTGAAATCAAAATTGTAACCCGCCAAAGAGAAATGAAAATGAGAATATTCGATAAATGGGATATTAAGTGTGGGTGATAGATTTAATGTTGTGGTTAGGAAAAAAATTAATTTTTATATTATAAATAAGTAGGGGCATCAATTCGGGTCGACGGGTCGGGTTCGGGTAGAACCCGATTTGACCCGGGAATAAACGGGTCAACCCGAACCCTACCTGTTTAAGTAAACGGGTCAGGAAATGTCACCCGCCGAGACCCGCGAACACCTTTGGCAGTGCTGGAGGATGCTGACAAATGTCGCCGTTCCGGCGTTCGAACGGACGTTGACGAGCCGGTGTCCGCCTTGGTGTGGTGCGTGTTGTGGATGCGCCGAAGTCGCGTTCGGCACGTCGGGCGCCTTGTGAACAAGGTGTCGCCCTTGTTGCTAGAACAGTTGAGATCGTAGACCGCCTTGATTTTTTTTGGAAATGTGAGGAGTGCAGGACGTGAGGTACTTATTTGTTTTTTTTTGGAAATGCCAGATAAACTGAGCAAGGTGAGCCTGTGACTATAGCAGTGAGCTGGAGTCTGGTGAGAGTGACCATTACCTCGGGCCTGAGCTTGATTTTTTTTTATACATGGACAGCCGGCGATAATCTTCAGAATTTGTATTTTTGGGAAGGTGCAGTCTGAGTCACCGTAGATTCAAATCGGTTACAGGTTTGTACTAGTACAAACGGCTTGTTATTTCCCGGAGAGAGTTCTGTCGGGACCCGTTTATGAAGACGGTCGAAATTTAAGACCCAGATACCCTGATGACCGTTGTGTAAACGGTCGACCCTAAACTCCCGAATTGTCAGTCGTGGTTTGGGTCCAGGTCTTATTGACACCAGCCATAGATAG